GTCTGAAAGGTGGATATACTATAAACAGCAAGAAAAAGAAGTGGCTATACCACATATATCTACATATGCCTTCCACTACACCACTGTCTGTAGGGTAGCTTCATGTACTTGTAGCATGTAATGTGCTGTCCCAGTCACAAGCTTTTCCGCTCTAACAATTCCTCTCTACTTTCTCCCGAGAGTGTGTTTCCTCAATCAGCTGAATCACTGCTTTGTGAAATCCAGGTTAGTTCCACTGACATTAAGCGTCTCTTTTTATAGGCCAGACTTAGCTGCGCCAGCAAACACAATTATCAAAGTCAGTACCGAAATGCCTTATCTAATTTAGAGCCACAACTTAACCAATTAAACAACACAAGTCCACTGGGGAGGAAAGAATGTGCTCCTGCTCAGGCTGCCGGGAGCTTGATGAGGAGGCACTGCTTGTCACAGCCTGCCTGCATTATCAAGACACAACACAACAAGACATGAAGGTCTGAACAAGTCAATTACACCATTAGTGATAGCTAAAAGAAAGAAAGAAAGAAAATAAATATCGGAGACAATTTCAGTGTTTCTCACCCAATGTCAGCTGGGATAGGCTCCAGCCCCCCCGCGACCCTCAAGAGGATGAAGCGGTTAGAAGATGAATGAATGAGATGAATATAATCCTTGTTTGACTCTAGTGTTATCAATATGTTTTAGCAATGAATAATTTTAATTCCCTAATCATTTATTGACTTTCATCATATTTTATATTTGGGCATCTGTTGTTTGATTTACTCAAGTAATAATTATTTAAATTACCTGATCAAACATCATTAATTTAAACATCCATAACACAGGTGTCAGACCCTTAAAAATGTTGCTCTTTTTCAAGGAAATCCACCCTGAAACATATAAATTTAAAAATAAGACCAATCCACTTAGGAAAATAATCTATTTCCATGGTCAGAAGAAGACTTTACAGTATAATAACAATAATAATAATAATAATATCAATAATAAATAAATAATAAGTAGAGTGGTACAATGAGGTTTTAAAAACATGTACTATTATTTTTCTAATTACATTATTAATAAATGATTCTAATATCTCAAAAGACTTTTTTTCCTTTTACTCAGTCAATAGCTATTTAAAGTCACTAGAAAATCACTGTGGTATGAGTCATTGGTATGAAAGGCATCTACTAATTGTGAATTGGATCAGTGCAAATAAAACAAAGAGTCAAAATGTGTTGTTTAACAGATTGGCAGTTCCCTCACTTCAAGACTAAACTGCCAAATCATTGAGGCACTTTTCAAACATTTAAATATGAAGAAGCTATTGACTAGGTGTCCTTAAGTGCACTGTAATTCAGTTATCCCACAGAGGACATCCTATCTTATACTGTAACATTAAAGGTCTGTTAGATATAACATGGGCTCTTACAGGGCATACAGTACAGTGGAGGGTGTAAATTAGATCAGATTACATGAAGGTAAAAGAGGAAGCCTGACATTAAAGATAACAGTCGGTCAGAATATCTGACATTTGGAGAGCAAAACAGCTCATTTTTTCATTCAGGATGGGATGACTCAAGCTAGGTTTTTTTTCCCAATGTGTGCAGCCTCTGCAGGAAGTGTGTAGTAATTAGAGAGCCAGTAGCTCCAACAATATTGGGCACATCACGTGATCTGCCTATAATTAGGCAATTGTGACCGAGACAAAACATGACGAGAGCTGGAGGATGATGATTTCCAGGATTTAGTGAGTAGATGTGATTTTAAAAGCCATGTGGTACTTCTCAACTATGTTTTGTACCGCATATCCATTTATTTTGCCAAAAATAATTCCCAGATTGTTGCCTTACAACAAACATTTTAATGATCATATGTGAACCCAGAGCTCTACGGGTAATTCTGTGCATCTAATGCCTCATACTGTTGACTTGTCATGTACTGTAGGGTTTGGACTGAAACTATACAAAATTTATAGTTATTTGTTGACTTCACCTTTGTCTCTGAAAAAAATAGAAAAGTCAGAGTTTTTTTTCTGTCATCTTTATAGACTGAAGGATACATTAATTGATAATATAATCAATGACGAAAGTAACTGCACAGTCCCGATGTAAGTAGTAAGTGATGACCCTTAAGATTTTCTGGCAAAGGACCCCCCCAGTGCCCCCCCCCCATTAATGAAAAGAAACCAACGCTCTTAATCTACAGCTGTATCCATAATAGACTTAATGTTGTGTCTAGTCAAGTATGTTAATTTTATTCATGTTCATGTTTAGTGTTTCATATTTTATGTCATGCCTTAGTTTAGTTTCATGTTTAGTCCTTTGTTGTCATGAGCACTTTATGTTAAGTTAAAGTCACTCATGTTCAGTCTCGTCGTGCACTTCCTGTTTTATTTTGTACTCACCTTTTCCCTCTCGTTTCAGACCCTGACTTTCTCCCTTTGTGTGATTTTCTCGCCATTGTGATTGTCTACCTCACCCCTGATTGGTTTCACCTGTGTTCCCCTACCTCATGTATAAATAGTCCTTGTCTCCCTTTGTCTTATTGCCAGTTCGTCTTGTTCAGTCCGTGTGATGCCAGGTTTTCATGTATCAGGTTTGATTCTAAGTTGTGATATTTTTTTGATCCTCATTGTATTTTGTTTTGAACTTTGAATATCCTCCCTGAGAGCGCCTTTTGTTTAAATTGATTTTGCCAAGTAAAATACTTTTGTTAAACCTACTGCAAGTCATGCATTTGAGTCCACCAGTTTCGTGTCTGAGGTCGTTACACTTAAGTTTTGAAAGAGTGTCTCATTCTGCAATTGTTATATATTTTATGAGCTACATTTTCAGACACACCTCACCATTTTAAATTGCCTTTCCCTTTACTAGAGGGTTCCAAGCTGATGCCCCTGTATGTTTTTACTCCAATCTAAAAAATCAATTCATGAGTATCAAACTATAATATATGCAGAAATATGACAATCAAAGGGATCAATCTGTAATAATAATAATCGGAATATAAGTAATATTAGTAATAGTAAGTAATAAGTAATTTTTACTTTTAATACTTTGAGTTCATTTTTCCTGACAATATTTCTGTACTTGTAGGTAACACTTCGAAAGCAGAACTTTTAGTTGCAGTTAAGTATTTCTTAATTTTTTTTTACATAATTACATTTCAGTAAAAGATCTGAACACACTATTGAAGATTTGCTCTGCTCAGCCTTTGGTGAACCAAGATTGTATGGCATATTTCAACCTTGAAATAGTATTGTATTGGTGTAGTGTGATGTTATGCAATCAGTCATTTTCTAAGAGTTTTTGAAAAAATGTCCTTTGAAATTAAACTCTGCAACTTGTGTAATTAAACCACAGGCCCAGAGCTGCAGTTGGCAATATTTGGTGTGGCCCAAAGAGACCCGTGCTTTGGCCTTTTCATCAATGCTAGCAAGACGCCTCATTCTGTAAAACTGGAAGTCTAACCTGCCCCCTTTGTTTAGATGCTAGGTCAATGATGTCATGGCTCACTTGAAGTTGGAAAAGCTCAGATATACCACTCAAGGATCAGTCAATGGATTCCATTAAGTATGGCAACCATTCCTGGACTATTATAAGTGTGTTTATACTTCAAGAAATGTGATTTTAATACCTATGTGTGCCTATATATTTTGTATATTCATGTGTATTTAGTTGAGGTGGTTCGGACATCTGACTAGGATGCCCCCTAGGCGCCTCCCGCTGGACGTGTCCTGGGCACGTCCCACTGGTAGGAGGCCCCAGGGTAGACCCAGAACACGCTGGGTCTCGTCTGGCCTGGGAATGCCTTGGGGTCCCTCAGGAGGAGCTGAAAGCGTTGCTGAGGAGAGGGATGTCTGGGGTGCTTTGCTCGGCCTGCTGCCCCCATGACCCGGCCCCGCATAAGTGGATGAAAATGAATGGATGTGTATTAAGTGTATTAAGAGGTTGTTGGTGAAGATTCTCAGTCATCCAGGTCATGGTAATCGTAAGTGCTAATATCGTAGGCAACTGGACTTGCTTGCGTTTCTTGAAGACGTTTCGTCTCTCATCCAAGAAGCTTCAATTCTAAATGACTGGAACAAAGTTGCAGGCTATAAACTCTGAGTGGGTGGGAACCCTTGCAGAGTCGTAGGGGTGACGTGAGCTCTTAGATTCAGAGTCGTTAAGGTCACAATGTGGGTCGTTGACCCACCTGGCCACCATGTGAGTCGTTAGGGTCAGGTGGGACAAGGGGTGAATGGGTGTAAAGTCGTCTGGGGAGGGATCCCAAGACTGCATTGTGGGTGGGGGATAAGTAGTGTCTTAAGCCACCCCCTCTGTTTAACGATGGCCATTCCAGCTTGACGTAGATGGCTTCTTTTACTCCTCTTTCAAACCATCTTTCCTACCTGGCCAAGATGTGCACATTGCTGTCCTCAAAGGAGTGTCCCTTCTCCTGTAGATGTAAGTGGACAGCCAAGTCTTGACCTGAGGAGCTGGCTCTCCTGTGCTGTGCCATGCGCTTGTGGAGTGGCTGTTTTGTCTCCCCAGTGTATAAATCTGTGCATTCCTGGTTGTACTGAACTGCATACACTACATTACTCTGCTTATGTCTGGGTGTTCATTTGTTTGTCTGTGCAGGCCAGTCTTGGGGGAGGGTCTGGTTGGGTTGGATGTTGTGGGTTCAGAGTGTATATGTTCCATTTTTCTTGTTTCTTGGTTGTTCTGAAAAACCAACAGGAGTAACTAAAAATAATAATAAACTCTGCAACTCTCCATATGTCCACATGGAGTCGCTGTTGATACTAAAATGGTAAAACCCTAAGCCCTAAACTCACATCGACTTTAATATTCAACCTGCCTATTCAAGATTTGCACCTACAACAACCATATTTAGAGAAATTAAGTGAATTGAATATAAAACCATACAATATGTAGTTTAGAGATAAAATGCAACTGTGTTTTTTCCGGTCACAAGTTGCTCTGGGATGAGATCAGCCCGGGCCCGCCTCCAACTCCTACGTGTTCCCCTCACCCAGCGCAGAGGCTTCTGGGAAACCGAGTCCACGCTCTGAATAATTCAAGCTCCCATACCCTCTCCTCCACCGCTAACAAGATGCCGGCCGTACATCACAAACTGCTCCTGGAGGACGCTTTGCAGGACAGTCCTCAGGTAGGCCTGTGTGGGTTTTATCACGTTTAAAGACACGACTGTCACAAACAAAAGACGTAACCAGCGCTGGAGTTAGCTTACCAGCCCAAACAATATCTTGTTCCTGTTGTAGGCGGTTTCCACTGGCCGTTGACAGCTCCTAGCTAATTGACACATTGTTATGGGATATAACCCTCTGTCAGGAGTGGCTGCGCCTCCCCGCTGGAAACAACGTTGTAGTTTATGGAGCTTGTCGTAATTATCGGCGTTAATGTGTGTCTGTCATGTTTAAAAAGCCGCCGCTCGTCATAGAGCTCATCTGTCCGATATTCTGCCGTACATTTAAACGCATATCACTATGATTGATGTCATGGACATAGCTCAACCACAATCAAACTCCTGTGATGTTTTTATTTCACAATGTCGTTTTAAGTTAGATTGTCAGGCAAGACCCTGCTTTGGAGCCGAACTGGGCCTGAATCACAGGATATGGGAGGGGTTTCCATTATCGGACTCCACTGGTATTAGTCAATAGCCTGCAACAGGGCAGCTGACAGTAGTGAATACCATATGTTGTTTGATGGCTATGTGTCTGGAGTGCAGTGTGAAAGTTGCTCCCGGAGCACTAGGCCTCATGCATGGATGTCAATGATGCTGGACTGAAATACAGGGCAGCCTTTGTTCCATACACATCTAATGTAGCCTATTTACAGCTGTCTGTTGCACCACTCTTTTTCCCAGACAGTGCTGCTGACCTCTTTGATGTTCTGCTTAAGTGCAATCCATGCTGGAGGGTCATGTCTCTCTTTATGTTTTTATCCTGCAGTTTGCTCCCAACAAGAAATAGGCCTGGTGTCTGTCTACGGTGAAATGTAAACACAGCAAAAGCAGACAGATAATTTCCTTTTGGTGTGAAATGGCTCTCAATCCCTCTGTGGTGAAACTCAACTGGAATGAACTGTAAACAAACTTTAGCCGATGGGTGTGTTCCTCTCTGCTATATCTGCCCTGCCTTGCTGCACCTGTTTATGGAAAGAAACTACACCCAGACAGGATTTTCTCAGTTTGCATAGCCAGCCTGCGGTAAAATTATTCCGCCTTTAGTTTCACTTCAAAGCTGCACTTTCCTTATGCCTCTGCATACAGCAGCTTCCCTCATTTCTTCCAAACTGTGTCTTATGTCCTCTTTACACTTTGAGCAATGTTCTTACATCCCTTTTATGAGTTACAGGTTTGTATTCAGGTAGAGGGAACTGCTGAAGCCTCATATAAACTTCAGATAAACTTAAGAGTGTATTTGCGCGCAGAAAGGGGACTTGCAATAAGAAGGGCATCTCTTAAAGGAGCAGTGTGTAGGATTTAGTGGCATCAAGTGGTGATTCAGACGTTCAGGAGGTTTTTACAGGGAGCTAAATTATCCACAGAGGTCTCTTTCTCTCCAAAACAAACACACAGTGATTTAAACTGGCAAAAACACAAAATAAAACAGTTTTCCGTTGATGAAAAGTGTTTTTGCGATGTTGTTTGGCTCATTGCAGAGGGGCTGCTTCTACAGTGGCCAACGTGAAAATGTGAATGGCCCTATCTAGAGCCAGTGTTTGGTTTGCTTGTTAAGGGCTACTGTAGAAACATGGCGGTGCATCATGGTTGACTCCGTGGTTGAGAACCCACTCCCCATATAGCTCTTCTAAGGCACTATAAAACATGACGATTCATATTTTTAGGTGAGTATGCACTAAAGAAAACATACCTATTATAATATATTCCATGTCTACCAATACATCCCCCTAAATCCTACACACTGGACATTTAATCAGGAGGAATGATTACAGCAAGTAATACCTGTTTACTGTTCATATGACTTGTTTTCAGACAGACTTGAAAAATTTTGAACCTGTTCTTTAATAGTTTATTGAACTATTCTCTCATCTGTTCACGCTGTTGTCACGTTCATCAAAAGAGTGTATGAATGTTTGTTCCACAGACTCGCTCCTTGCTCAGTGTGTTTGAGGAAGATGCTGGGATGCTTACAGACTACACTAACCAGCTGCTACAATCGATGCAGCGTGTGTTTGGAGCCCAGGTACTGAACAAAACACAAACAGATGCACATATGCAGACTCTGTTTCCTTCGCCGTGTGTGGCTCTGAGCCACATGTTTGTTTTTCCTTTTAAATCTGAACTAGAGTTAACTTTGTTTGCCTGGTTGAATATGAAGCATTTGCATTTTCAAACTTCAGCGGAGCATTGTTTTGGTTTGCACTGAAGAGGAGATGGTCCTTTTGAATAAACAAATACTAAACTGGGATATTAAACACTCATATTTGCAACCTCACAAATGCAAACTGAAGAATGAAACATTATGTACTGAAGGCACTCGTAGAAACAGCCAAGAAACCTTTAACCAGTATTGCAACTGACGTGGTGTTGCACTGGGCCTTAAAATCATTTTTCAGTACAATATACGCAGTAAGAGTGATGTGCAGTGAGAAGCATAAACTAATCTTGTGCTGTCAGAGTGTAGATAGTCTCGACTCAAATGTTGCAGCCACAATAAATGCTTCATTTTTCTCCTGACAACATCCACGACTTATGTAACATGACGTCAGACCTTTTCTGAACCAATGATCGTTTACTGGTAGAGCTGACATTTCTATGATCCATTACCTTGTGCTTTTTCAAAGGAATTTTCAATTGAACTCCGATTCACCTGTTGTCCAATTATTTCCTTGTATTCCTTCGAGGTCTGAAAGGGAGAATGACAAATATAAAAGCTACAGAAAAATCCTTAGTATTGCAGTCTGTTAACTTTGCTTTTCCCCCTCTGTCTGCCTCCTACAGAGTGAGATGGGGTTGGCCACAGAGCAGCTCTCACAGCAACTTCTGGATTATGAGAAGAAAGTAAGTATGTAAGCATAATTTCCACTGGGGGATGAGGGCGACAAGTGTCATTTTCATTGTTAAAGGTTGATTTTTTTTGTACTGCAGTCTCTCTGAAGCTTGTCCTCTGACTGACCAGCCACTAAAATCCAGATTAGAGAAGAGAATAGATCACAGAAATGTTCCATATGCTTTTTAGAGTTCAATTATTACCATTCGCTCAAAGCAATGAGCTTAATGAGCAGCACTAAGTGGTGCTTGATAACAGTTATGGGTATGATTGCATCATAAAACAGAGATACACCCATCAGTGTTATCATTTTCATTTGACCTTTTGTTGCGTGTGTGCACGTGCGGCTAGAAAACCTACAACTACCAGAATGCAATGCACTTTTCTGTGATGATTTTAGCACAATATGGTTCGATTCTGCATCAATTAAAAGGCTGGGAGAATAAACACTCCTATTGGTGGGTGATGTAATCATAGACTGTGTAAATAATGGATGTAGCTACCATGACGTCACCCACTGGTTTGTGGACTGCCCTTTTGAAGCTTCGAGTTTGGCATTTTGGCCGTCACCATCCTGGTTTTTTGAAGCCAGAAGTGACAGTATTTGGACGAGGCGATGACGCTGTGGAGGAGTGAGGGGTGGATCTGACTGAGAAGGCAAGGACACTATCGGCAGACAGTCTGTCACTCAAACGGCCTGCCCTTAAGATGTGTAATTCTGGGCCTTAATAAAATGTAGAGAGGTGAGATATAAAATAAAATTCACCCCCTGTACAGTTGACATGAATGTTGACATTAGCTATAGATTTTTGGCACGTCTGCACTGGCTTCAATTTTCATCCCCAGAGGTTGCTGCTTGGATTCAATGCGAGGTGCTCATCCTCTAAACAATATGACAGCTGTCTGGTAACAAACCGTTCTGTGTTACAGGTAAACAGTGCACTAAAATCTGTTTTCGAAACCATTTTAGGTGAGAAATAAGCAATGCAGTATCAGAATTTTGGTTTATATTTGATCAGCACTGCTTAGTTTTACGGTTTAATGTCAGTTTTTTCAGCCCCTGCTTTTCACACTTCAGGAAACAGTGTGGTGCCCACCTCCTGTTCACAAACTCTTGTATTACAGCCAAACAATGCACTAAAATATGTTTCTGAAAGTATTTTAGGTGAGAAATAGACAATGCAGTATCAGAATCTCGATTCATATTTAATCAGCACTGACTAATTTTACAGTTTAATCAGATTTTAGTCTAAGTTTGAGAGGGGGAGCGAGAGAAAGGGGCAGCTATTCCCTCTCTCTGCTTCTGTACTCTTTGTGTCTGTGGTGGTGGGCAAAAAAAGACATGGAAGTACAATCTGAAGTTCGAGTAACAGCTCTTGAGCCAGCGAAAATTCCGTCACCCAGTGGATTTGAGCCGAGAGTTGAGCATAGAGATCTTGCGTCTAGTAAGACAGAGGAAAGTTTACCATAGATCATATACTACACAATACTACCCACGTTATTTTACAAACCTGGTGGAAAATCGGTAAAGTATTCCTTTAATGAGCAGCAGTGAGTGGCCTTTATTGCCCCCTTGTATTCTCATAGTGGGTGAAAAGGGCAACTCTGTTATTGTTCTATAATAGTTATGTTTGATTGCAACAAAAAGAGACACACCCATCAGTGTTATCAATTTCCTTTGAACTCTTTCTCTTCTTCCATGTTTGAATTTGTATGCGTCTGCCACACCTCGTCTTTTCATGTGTGTCTCAATGAAATCTCTGAGCGTGAAAACACCTTGAAGTAGAAACACCTCTGATTGATTATCTATCATGGAGTCTTTTTTTGTGCAGCCAGCAGGAACAAAAAAAATAGAATAGATGCTTAAGTCAACACAGCAGGTATATTATAGGTATACTAAGCAGGATTTCCCTAAAAAAAACATGTATAGACTCACAGAGTTAATCCCTCTCAGTCATCACTTACAACCCCCTTGAAGTGTGTGGCAGTGTATTTTTCTGCAGAGACTCTGACCTCTGCTTGCATTTTCTCATTTTCTTCTTATTCTCTGTGTTCAGGATGTTTATGGGCGTGTACTCCCACAGAGCTCAGTTGAGGTCGAGGTTTATAAAAAGACAGTGACCAGGTTGCCAGAGTGTAAACAGCAGGCATCCAAGAGACACAGTGCAGAAAAAAACGCAAATATAGTGAAGCCAAACACCAAAAGAGATTGAATCTGGGGTTGGCTTTTACTTTCACTTTCGCAGGCGAGCATGTAAACAAAAAAAGAACACATTCTGGATTGCAGAGTGGATGTTTGTTAGAAAGAAAATCTGCAATGAACTATAATGGATGCACTTTTAGCTCCCTTAAACAAGACTTAAAACTCAGCATCTTAGCACATGGTTTATTAGTATCTTTGGCCTTGTGCCATGGAAGGGATGTGCCAAAAATCCTGGCAGAATAGACTATTTTTTAACTGTTTAGCACCTTGTGCAGGCTACATCTACTCTACATTATGCAGTTTCATGGTTTAAACTTGTTCCCCCTCCCTTTCTCCTGTCTAGAATTTTGCCCTTGGAAAAGGTGATGAAGAGGTAATCACCACGCTGCAGAACTTTGCCAAAACTGTAGGGGAGGTGAGTTGCCGTTTTGCTGTTTTATGTGTGTATATTTATGTGTGCGCACTTGCAGCAGAAGGGAGGGATGATATATTGCAGCTCAGTCAGTAGTTGGTTCTTTATCAGGTTACAAAGGATATTGCACCTGTGCTCCCCTTAGCACGCTGGCAAAAATGACCTCAATGAAAAGACCTGAGTATTATCCTCCCTGTAAGACCGGAACTGATTGTATACCGACACTAAGAGGGGAGCGGTGAGGTGGATATGATGCCTATCGCAACGGATGGATGGCCGAAGGGAAGCAGCAGTGTGTAAATAGATAGATGGATGAGGGAAGGGTGTGTAGACTCAGGTACATAGACAAAACAGATGGGCCTGTCACTCTCAGCCATGGGGGTCCACAAGCCTGCCTAGTCAGCACTCAACAGGATTTAGGACACACCAATCCACATGTACAAGCTCAGAGGACACGGGTTGATTGTTTGCTTGACCTTTACCTCATGATTTACAGAGGGGAACTCATTTCACAGTGAGAGTTAGGCCCGCTGCTGCACCTAATCCTGTGAACTTTAGCACTTGCTAAATCGCTCAGATTAAACTCAATGTCAGCTTATTAGATGCCAGAGTGTAGCTTGTTGATAAGCATGGAGAATTATAGCAGGATTTGCTCGTGTGTGTGTGCGATGCGTGGCCCTGTTTCCAATATCAGAGTAAACAGAAGGTTTTATTATGCTCTTGTACTGTTCTGCAATATGGGCTTTTTATGATGCAGCAGAGGCATTGTCTGCAGTTATGCACCCATTTCACTTGAAAATGTTACTTTCCAGCTTGCTGCAGGAATATCTGGCAGCAAATGGCACTGTACATATTAAAATAAATTGAACTCCCTCAAGATGTTTGGCGAGGGTACATCTTCTGTTTGTGTCCTTGTGCAACGCCTGATATTTTTTGTATAATCTGTTTTGTTACGTCCAGCTGAACTCGCTCCACTCTGAGCTAGCCAACCAGATGGCTGACAGCATGGTGTTCCCCCTGATCCAGTTCCGAGAGAAGGACCTTACAGGTAGGAACAGACACACACACACACAAACAGAAAACTTATCATAATACATTTGTGTTTCTCAAAGTATTTTGGAGTAATTTATGGCTCTGTAACCAAGTTGATCTTGGAGAGATGACAAAAATAAGGGAGAAATGGAATGGCAGGAAACAAAGGTCCTCAGCCAGACTCGAACTGGGACGTTGCAGTAGATTCAGGCCAAACCCCTTGGCTAGCAGACCCCATCATAACATGTAACTGTCATATTGTTACAGATAATCTACAGTCAAGGCTGACTGTAGATTATCTGTAACCTTGAGAAGGACCAAATACCAGAGTATACTATATGAATATGTAGTAGATGAAAGCTACTGCTGTCTATATGAATTACACTTGCAGCGCTAAATAAATGATTGACATTATGGCCTCTAGTTTCGCAGACCGGGTGAGGCGCCAACTGGGTGTGGCCAGGCGGATTTTGCAAGTTTGGGTTTTACACAGCCGATTCATATCACACCAATCAAATGAGCCCCTCTCCTCGCCCTTAAATGCGCCGCGCGAAGGCGTAATGAGAGTTTACTCAATTCGCCATGGCAGAAGAGAGCAGCAACATCAGACAGCCAAACTTCTCCCAGGAGGAAACTGATGTTTCCTCCTGGGAGGCTCCTGAGGTCCAAGCTCGCAGTGTCTGAATATATGGAACTGCGAGCAGACCTCCACGGGCTGATGATGCAAAGGTACCCTGGGAGGAGGTCACCACAATTGTAAATCAATGTTGCATTTCTCTCGAGTGCGTGCGCTCTCTCTTTCTCTCTCGCAGTCTCACTCTGTTTCTTTTCTTTTGACTTTTCTAAGATGACAGATGCTGAATATATACTCCCTATCTGATGCTGTGGCTGTTTGTGGCTGGCTGAGAGGGATGTGAACTCATTAGTTTGCAGCTGTGTTAATCAAATCAGGTTGGGTTTCCATTAAGCGTGCCAAACGGTGCCAAACGGTGCCAATCCCCTCTGATCTGACATCAGATGTGACGGGACAGTCGATATAGAGATACATTTATGTGCTGATTGCAGATAGTTGCATTGAATAGTGGTTTTTGTTTTATTTTGTTTATTGCATCGTTAATGTGCCTGATATTCTGGAAACCTGCCTGTAAGGTTTTGGTAACGTGTGCGCACTGTCCGACGGTCAGCCAAATTGCCACTACACCGGCTACGCTCCGCCTGCGCTGACAGTAGACCTGCTTTCAGCTGGCGAGCTTTTAGTGCACCTTCAGCGAAGCCTTTTGCCACGAAACTGTCACTGCGCCAAGCTGGATCTGTCGACACTTCCCCCCGCTGCGCCGCCACACCCATCTCGGCGCACCTCGGTCTGCCAAACTACCAAACTGAGCGCGCCTCGGGTTGCACTGCTCGAAACTAGCTCTGCGCGGAGTTCGCCACCCTGCGCTGCACCGGGAAACTAGAGGCCAATGACTGTACTGAGAGTTCATGCAGACAATCTGACAAATATAACATAATAAAAACATTAATGTTAGTTGAATATTCTCGCGAGCATCATTTTTGGTTGCTGGTTGAATGTGTGGCTAATAGTAGCTAATATTGGTAATGGCAAATACATTTTGTTTTCACTCCAAGTATTACCAAAACTTTTTATCAAGATATTAATTTCCAAAATTGCAGTTCCAGAATTTTTTTTATTTTTCATCATTTCATTCAGTCATTTTCTGACTTAAGTTATGTGTTATAGATTGGTGCAGGAATATGTGCTAAAAAAATAGTTAGCATTTTAGCACTCCTGGTTCCCTCTTCTTGAAGTCAATGTGTTTTTTTTAATTGGTTTGTGATTAGATGGCTGAAATAAGGTCTGTGGTTAACACAAGCTTAAGAGACTGTCCCAGTTTATTCTGCAACAGTAAATACCACACTTGTAAATTTTGAAGCCTTTACATGTCTTTAAAAAGACAGTTGCTAACAAGTGGCTAAATGAGACTACAGAATGTCATCACACAGAACTCAGGTTTACAGCCTTGTTGTGGTGGTGACGTTGAAGTCATGCGACTGTGGTGTTTTTCGTTTATAGCCTAATGTTGGCTTTTCACCTCTAGTGATTGTATTTACATTTCAAAAACCATAAAATGGTGTTATTTGTGAAGGTAATCTGGTTGAACAAAAGTAAGTATCACAGACTTCTGCAGTAATCCAAAATCAAAAGGAAGAATCCCATTGGCTTTCTGTTAAGGGGACCAGGGCAGTAATTACTTCTGTGTTGGCCTACAAATAAACATAATCCCTGTACCACTATTATTGGTATGTGGGTAACAATAACAAGTTTCCCATCAACAACTGATGGGAACAATAATGGATCCTAACTTTACCCTACATGATACACATATTACTTACTAGTTTTCCACTTTTTAATAGAATTGAAAGTAATCAAATAGAGACAGAGTACAGTGTTTGACATCAATTTTACCTACCCACAGCAGTCAAGCAACTGGGGTACGATTACCACTTGTACACCACATGCAGAACTGCAGTACACAGTAATACTACAACTGGTGGTTATAGTAACGCCAATTTGTTGATTGTAGAAAACAAGTGTCGCACACTTTGGCTCTATGCATTTCTTTTATTTTGATGATGTTTCAGCCTTTAAGTCTTCGTCAAGATCATGTCGAAGAGGGCCCATAGGCTGAAACGACATCAAAATAAAAGAAATGCATAATGACCCAAAGTGGGCAGATTAATAATACTGGGGGCATATTTAAATACTGGGGGGTATGGGTGGTACTGCCTTGATCTGTTCACTGTTATTTTTAGATGCAGTGGGCAAAGTCCCACATGCTGGCTACAGAAAAAAAGATGTGGTTGTAGAGATATTACTGGTAATTTAGAAATGTTATATAATACTGGAATAATGCATATTCTACAACTGACTGTCAGTGGGTGGATATATTTTTTTTTATATTTTATTTTTTCTTTTAAATGCGCTTCCATATTGATTGTCAAGTGCCTCGGGCGTGGGAAAACAGCAACACGCATGCGCTGTTGCTGTAATTTGACTGGCTAGCCGATTAGCCGTTTAATTGAGTTGGCAACAGCTGCGGTCACCATGATCGGTAAGGGTTGGACGATGTGGATTATTTTACACAACACGAATTTGAAAGCCTGTCCTCTGAAGAAATTGAGATTAAACAGTTGGGATTAAACAGCTCACACTGGCAGCCGCGGGATATTGTTATAAACGAAATAACTGGTAAAAATAATTAAATTGAACGAGTGGTTCTTCAGGGAAAATGGCTAACTGCTAACGTTAGCGTTAGCTTGTCAGAAGACGCTATTGCTTCGTCCGTCCGCGGTAAACCGCTGTAATATTCAGAGGGGAGTAACACCTGTTCAAGAACAGACATTCATGATATCAGACAGCTTTTTAAGAAGATTACCAGACATAAAGCGGCAGGATAGGTACGTTAAAGTTAGAAAACATAGCTCGATCGACAGATAATAAAGCAGCCTAACGGCTACCGTTAGCTTTAGAATGACAGGTATGTGCTCAGTCGGGTTATCCCTTGTGTTACAAATGTGAAGTAGGGCATTATGTCAGATTGTTTGACATAATTTGTGGGATTGCTGATTTTGTATCTATGCAAACTTGTTGCCCCGCCATTTTCCACCTAAAAACGCCACTGTTATAGTGTTTACAATATTAAATCAAACAGTGATAAAATATCAAGAATTTTATTGTTCAGCCATTTTGTCAACTGACAGCTTGTGTTATCTACTTCAAGCAGTAGTGCAATGTTTTAAAGATGTGGATCTATTTTAATCTAACAAAACTTACTGTTCACTCAATGTTTCAGAGATAAGCACACTGAAGGAAATATATGGCATTGCAACAGATGGTAAGTACAAATTCTGTCCTATTTAAGAAAATAAGGAAGTTTTTATTGGACTTTGTTATTTGTAACCCACACAAAACAATCTACAAATGTGTACCATGATCCACAAATACTTCATTGTCCACAAACATGTCTTTTTAATTTGTGTAAAGTCATATCCACAAAAGTACAGATTGATTTGCAAATTACAAGCTGTACAAAGACTATACTTGACATTTGTGGATTGTTTTTCTATAGATATGCTGCGGTAGGAATTAGACAAAAAAAAATACAAATGGGATTGAAGAAACAAATATCACATGACCCACAAACTCACAGGAAGCGATCCACAAATGCTCAAATCCAGTCTTACCTGTAAAAATAGATCCACAAATGCATAAATAAGACTTCATGTGTATTTGCTGTGGTGAAACACTTTACTTTTGTAAAACCTGTAACATATTTATGTGTTTGCAGAGTAAGTTATGCGCATGTGCAAATCACGCTGTATTTTAGTGGATATGACTTAACACAACACAAATGTAAAAAGACATGTATGTGGATAATGAGATATTTGTGGATCATGGTACACATTTGTAGATTGTCTTGTGTGGGTTACAAATAATACAGTCAAATAAAAACTTCCATAACAAAACAATTACAGCTTACAGCTACCATCTGATCCTCATGTCTGTTCTCTCCGCTCCTGCAGAGCATGAGGCAGCTATGGTCAAATACAGCCGATTGCCCAAGAAGAAGGAGAATGAGAAGGTAGATACTGGGAGGTGCTTTCTTGGCATCGCTGATAGAGCTTTTCCTCATTGATCACAAGCTATAAAATGCCTTACAGTGCAGTAATCCTCCAGTAATGCAGTGGGTGGGAGTGTTTTATTAGCACTTGAAACACAAATAAAATGAATAAAGTGTTCCCCTTCTGCCACACTGCATTGTTTTAGTAAGACTGTCACAACACCATGCCCTATCATGGCTGCAACGATAAGATTCCTCTGTTATTTGCCTCTGTTGAATGTGTCAGCATGTCTTCTTGGTGGTACAAGATAATCTGACTGTGTTGCTTATTTGTATGTGTGTGTGAGTGTAGGACAAGTGTTTGCATATGTATGAGTGTGTGTGCAGAGCTTGATAATGAGTTTATGCTGCACACGTTTACATGTATATTTGCATGTTTAACACTCTCCTGTCTGGACAGCTGAAGTCAGACTTGGTGAAGGAGGTCGCCTACACTAGAAGGAAGCAGCACCAGGCCTCACTGCAGTATTACTGCGCCCTCAACGCCCTGCAGTATCGCAAGAGAGTAGCGATGCTCGAACCTATGCTAGGCTACACACAGGCACAGGTACTGAGCATCTGCTGGCCCACAGACTTGGCTTGACTTATTGTCATATTAGTATTCAAATTCAGTACTCCAAAATTAGAAGAAATTACCTCATTGGAACTGATTTAGTTCACAAAGAACAATGGCTAGTTTGCAGTGTGTCCATGCAATAGAAACTATTGGCAAAACCTAAATCTGTAGTATGTGACTAGAGCTGCAACATGTAGTTGGTTAACTGATAAGTCGACTAACAGAAACTTTATCAGCATTTATATTTTTGTAATCTATTAAATGTTTTCATCATTTTCAAGCAAAAACGCTAAACATTCTTTGACTCCATCCTCTCAGTTGTGAGGATTTGATGCTTTTCTGAGATATGATAGCAAACGAAATATGTTTAGGTTTTAGACTGTTTGCCCAAATAAAACAAGCTACTACTACTACTATTACTACTGCCACCACTAAAAGACGTACAGTACAGGCCAAAAGTTTGGACACACCTTCTCATTCAATGCGTTTTCTTTATTTTCATGACTATTTACATTGTAGATTCTCACTGAAGGCATCAAAACTATGAATGAACACATGTGGAGTTATGTACTTAACAAAAAAAGGTGAAATAACTGAAAACATGTTTTATATTCTAGTTTCTTCAAAATAGCCACCCTTTGCTCTGATTACTGCTTTGCACACTCTTGGCATTCTCTCCATGAGCTTCAAGAGGTAGTCACCTGAAATGGTTTTCCAACAGTCTTGAAGGAGTTCCCAGAGGTGTTTAGCACTTGTTGGCCCCTTTGCCTTCACTCTGAGGTCCAGCTCACCCCAAACCATCTCGATTGGGTTCAGGTCCGGTGACTGTGGAGGCCAGGTCATCTGCCGCAGCACTCCATCACTCTCCTTCTTGGTCAAATAGCCCTTACACAGCCTGGAGGTGTGTTTGGGGTCATTGTCCTGTTGAAAAATAAATGATGGTCCAACTAAACGCAAACCGGATGGGATGGCATGTCGCTGCAGGATGCTGTGGTAGCCATGCTGGTTCAGTGTGCCTTCAATTTTGAATAAATCCCCAACAGTGTCACCAGCAAAACACCCCCACACCATCACACCTCCTCCTCCATGCTTCACAGTGGGAACCAGGCATGTGGAATCCATCCGTTCACCTTTTCTGCATCTCACAAAGACACGGTGGTTGGAACCAAAGATCTCAAATTTGGACTCATCAGACCAAAGCACAGATTTCCACTGGTCTAATGTCCATTCCTTGTGTTTCTTGGCCCAAACAAATCTCTTCTGCTTGTTGCCTCTCCTTAGCAGTGGTTTCCTAGCAGCTATTTGACCATGAAGGCCTGATTGGCGCAGTCTCCTCTTAACAGTTGTTCTAGAGATGGGTCTGCTGCCAGAACTCTGTGTGGCATTCATCTGGTCTCTGATCTGAGCTGCTGTTAACTTGCCATTTCTGAGGCTGGTGACTCGGATGAACTTATCCTCAGAAGCAGAGGTGACTCTTGGTCTTCCTTTCCTGGGTCGGTCCTCATGTGTGCCAGTTTCGTTGTAGCGCTTGATGGTTTTTGCGACTCCACTTGGGGACACATTTAAAGTTTTTGCAATTTTCCGGACTGACTGACCTTCATTTCTTAAAGTAATGATGGCCACTGGTTTTTCTTTAGTTAGCTGATTGGTTCTTGCCATAATATGAATTTTAACAGTTGTCCAATAGGGCTGTCGGCTGTGTATTAACGTGACTTCTGCACAACACAACTGATGGTCCCAACCCCATTGATAAAGCAAGAAATTCCACTAATTAACCCTGATAAGGCACACCTGTGAAGTGGAAACCATTTCAGGTGACTACCTCTTGAAGCTCATGGAGAGAATGCCAAGAGTGTGCAAAGCAGTAATCAGAGCAAAGGGTGGCTATTTTGAAGAAACTAGAATATAAAACATGTTTTCAGTTATTTCACCTTTTTTTTGTTAAGTACATAACTCCACATGTGTTCATTCATAGTTTTGATGCCTTCAGTGAGAATCTACAATGTAAATAGTTATGAAAATAAAGAAAACGCATTGAATGAGAAGGTGTGTCCAAACTTTTGGCCTGCACTGTACATCACCTTAAGCTGTGGAAAATTGTTCACTGTTTTCTGAAATTTTATAGACAAAACACTTAATTCAGAAAATAAAGGGCACTTAAATCAGTAATAAAAATAATTGGTTTTGTTGCCCCCTCAGTGATTATCTGTTTCTAGAAATTTCTGTTGCATAAAAGCAACTGTAAAATTAATAAACTAAAATACAAGATTAATTGCTCATTATTATGTCTTATCTTTCAGATCGGCTTCTTCAAGAAAGGCATTGAGCTGGTGTCAAAGAAGATGGACAACTTTCTCACCTCTGTGTCCAACATGACTCAAAAGTAAATATTATCTCCTTTAAAATGTGTACAGTAAATCTGATGAACTATATTTTTAGTATTAACTATAAATTGCAGTGTTATTGTATATGTATGGAATGCCATATTTTAGTCCATATTAAATAAATAGATTAAAAACAGCACAAGAGTTATCTAGATAGCACACTCCACCATCCTGCTGCCTCATTCCCTGCTGCCTGAAGACTACTTCCCCAGAGTGTTTGCTGATCCGAAAGGCGGAGGAACCCCTGGTGTGCTAGCTCAGTAAATTCATTTAATCTAGTGCCCCATTTTGCTGTTTTCCAAACCACTGTTAGCTGACATATTTTGTGAAGACTGACCTTCAATTAGAGGCCGTAGCGAATCGAATTGCACCTTTTTAACTAAAAAAAAAGTACTTATTTATTTAACTATATTGACTCATTTATATATTTTTAAAAAACAAGATCACGGAAGTGTCAAATTAAGGCAGACAACCATTAAAAATAAACCAAGGCTCTCTGTGTCCAGGTGACATAATCTCATAATTATTCTTTGAGCATAGACAATTTAACAAACCAACATGTATCGACTCTAGGTCTTGATTGGGGTCTGAGAACACTAATTAGACTTGCATACGTCATTTATATATTTATGTTCTATAACCTCATTTATTATAGAAATTTATTTGTTTCATAGGCATATTTATTTCTTTACTTAATATTGACAAAACAGCATTCCATATGTATGATCCTTTATTATGATGTCCTGCAACACACTTATTATTCACGAATATTCCATATTTTTGGTGAGCATTTTCAGGTAGTGCAACTGTGCTTGTACAGAATAACTGATAATAATAGTAAAAATAATGTTTTGCATCCATGTCTGAAAATTCTGTATTTTAATGCTCAATTTTTAGAGAAATTCAGATTTCTGAATGTCATTTTTGATGCATATTGCCTGTATTTAAACCTCTTTTTTTCCTGTATAGTATCCAGGCCCAGCTGGACACAGAGGCAGAGGCCATGCGTGTGTCCCAGAGGGAGCTTCTGTCTGTGGAGGACACTGTCTATATGCCAGATAAGGATACTGAGCCTGTCAATCGCACACTTATCCAGAAGGCTGGCTTCCTCAACATTAGAAAGTAAGATTAATTGCACTCATTATGGCCCTATCTTAACTCTAAGGACACTTCCTATTTACGTAGCGTTCTTTGCTAGTCGATAGATTAAGGGGTATGTTGAGGAAAAAAATGCAGCTGACGAACACGCTTTGAATCTGTCCTTATTTTACCTTACGTGACAATTCTGTGATTTGTTAGGTAATTAAGTCTGATGAAATAGCGATGCAATTAGTATATAGTGGTTACCTTAAGTCTTGAATCTCAAAGTAACCAAACACAATCATACAAACGATTTTTGCTTCTTTTGCTAAAGTTTCTCAAGACACACATGAACACATTAAACAATAAGTCTGTCACAGCAGACTGTGTGGGTCAGGTAACATGTTGACAGTGTGCGCTGTCAGCTTATTGCAGAGTGGATGTATGAGAAGGGAAACTTCCTTAATGGCTTCAGGGGGTAGAACTGCAGCGTAGCCCGCAATGTGATTTAGTGAAATGTCAGAGCTGTCAAACTCTGTCTCTCGCTCATATACATCCAAAGTCTTTGACAAATGTCGGTGACACCAGAGAAAAGGTTTCCACAGAATGCCATTCTGTTTAATGACACACACCGCCAGCAGCCTGAAAATGCTTGTCAAATACTGAGTCCAGAGAACATTTGCTATTTCGAATGGTTTCTCAATATTAAGGGTCTTAGTCACCCACGGCAGCATGAGCCATTCACTTTGATATTAATCAAAAGAAATTTATCTTGGAATATTTTTCAAACAGAATGTTCAAGGGGAAGGCTCACAGATGAGCAATTAAAATGAGTCATACACATGTCGCTTTGTTGTGAAAGCGAGTGAGTCAGAGATAAATTACATTGTAGTTGTTTTGTTATATTTATGTTTATATGCACAGACACTAATAGCCAAAACAAATTCAAAATGAAAACAAAACAGCTGTTCAAGGAAAGTACTGAAACAAGGGGAGGTTTTGGGGTGGCGGAAAAAGTCGATTCTTTGTAGGACTGCCCATGACAGTCAAAGATTGGCATTGTCAGTCAGAGACCACTCAGTCTACTGAGATTCTTCAAGTTGAGAGGAGTTTTTTTTGTGTGTTTTTGTCAGTCAGTGTGCAGTGTACTTCTGTGCTTCTGCAGACATTTTCATCCTGAGATGTAGCTGCAGGGTGATTGCTCCTCACTTTCACACTGCTCTCTGGGGCAGGCAGCTGCAGACCCAGGGTGAGTCTGAGTGAGATGGAAGCAACTGCCTGTAGGAAGAGAGGCTTTTCCCAGGCAGGCTCTGAAATAATGTCATCACCTTCTTCTGTTTTATATCTAGTGTCGGCACATTTGTTGCACATTTGTGATTCATCATTATTGTAGTTAGCATGCATTAGCTCCGAGGGCTAGATTGTCTTGTTTACTATATTACGTGAAGATCTACCTGAATGTCTTGTAGAACCCTGTTCAAACTCTGCATGGAAAAAAAGAAACAACTAGTCAAATAATAGTTTTAACAGCCAAATCCAATTGGACTGACATAATTCTGAGTTGGGTACAGCCCTAATTCTCAGGTGCATGGCGATATGTCGAAGTATATTCAACATTATGATTGCCTGTAACAATTTTTGTGAGACCAGGCTGTACATTCCTCACTGCCAAACTATTTGGATTTTGAAACATGAGGGCTGTAAATATGTGTGTCATGTTTATCTTGCAAGCTAGACTGCTTCTTGAGATTTGAGGATGGCTGAGAAAAATTATTTATTATTTATTTGTGAATAAGGACAGCTTTTTATGTTGACAAGTGATTCACAACATGCTGGCGTCTGTGTTAATTTTAGGGATGCACCGAATATTCGGTAACCGAATATATTCGGCCGAATATTGCAAAAAACCACACATTCGGTATTCGGTGGAATAAGTTAAAAGCAAGGCCGAATAATAGCGGCGTTTTGATAACGCAATCAAACGNAGTTAAAAGCAAGGCCGAATAATAGCGGCGTTTTGATAACGCAATCAAACGGCGTGCCGTGACGGGCGGAATAAAATGACGGTAGTGTGGCGATCTGTCGATCACGGCACTCGCATTTGCGACTAAAAATAGTTTTGAGCGCACAAAATAGGCTTAAATCATTCAGCACGCTGTGCGAGCAGCCTACATATTTCAACCAGCAGCAGAAACGAAAGGTGAATCCCACCGATTGTGGGTTCAATGGGGGACACAGACAGTAACGTTAATGTATTGCTGTCAAATACGGCGGCCATCGGCTTACCGGGCGACGGAGAAGTTGGTTCCAATAATATTCTCTTCTTGGTGTCATGACTGGCCAGAAGTACCTGAACAGCCGAGCCAGCCGAACACAGGTATGTGATGTGTCAGAGGAGAAACGAGCCTTTCACATTTCTCTCTTTCTGACAATAACGGCCCACAAACCTCACCGCACTTTAGGGACTGTTCATTACTTATGAAGGGACTGTTCTTTACTTATGAAGGGACTGTTCTTTACTTGTCAGGGGAGGAGGGTGGCTGGTTGATTTTTATTTTATTTATTTATTTTATTTTGATCCCCCCTATGTTCATCACTTATTGATGCTGTTTTTGAAGTATGAATAAGTCAATAAGTAATTTATTCCATTGAAATATCATTGATGTATTATAGAAAAGTGATTTATCTTTTCATAAATGACAAAAGGCACATCTGCCTCATTTTCGCTGTGGTATCATGATACTACTCAGAACCATGATATTTTCATTGGTATCGCACAGTGGGTCCCAATTTTGATACCGCGACAACACTAATCTGGAGGGGGTTCATCTGCAAAAACTAATCAACAACTAAACAATGATATTCTGTATTCGGTACTCGGTATTCGGCCAAGCTTCGGCCACAGATTTTCATTTCGGTGCATCCCTAGTTAATTTACTACAAGGATGCTGCTACATGCCTACATTTTGCTTCTTTTCTTGTTGGTTCTTTGCAAAGCTGGGAAATATGTTGGCAAATGTAACCTTCCAGTTGAAACATCTCTTCATCTGGGTCTAGACCTTGGAATCCGCCCACTCCACCGAGTGTAAAGAGATGACAGTTATGTCTGATATCAAACTCATCTCTTCTATTTGCTAATACTGTTGAATTATTAAAAGATAATGGAAATACATTCATCATATACAGTACAGGCCAAAAGTTTGGACACACCTTCTCATTCAATGCGTTTTCTTTATTTTCATGACTATTTACATTGTAGATTCTCACTGAAGGCATCAAAACTATGAATGAACACGTGGAGTTATGTACTTAACAAAAAAGGTGAAATAACTGAAAACATGTTTTATATTCTAGTTTCTTCAAAATAGCCACCCTTTGCTCTGATTACTGCTTTGCACACTCTTGGCATTCTCTCCATGAGCTTCAAGAGGTAGTCACCTGAAATGGTTTTCCAACAGTCTTGAAGGAGTTCCCAGAGGTGTTTAACACTTGTTGGCCCCTTTGCCTTCACTCTGCGGTCCAGCTCACCCCAAACCATCTCGATTGGGTTCAGGTCCGGTGACTGTGGAGGCCAGGTCATCTGCCGCAGCACTCCATCACTCTCCTTCTTGGTCAAATAGCCCTTACACAGCCTGGAGGTGTGTTTGGGGTCATTGTCCTGTTGAAAAATAAATGATGGTCCAACTAAACGCAAACCGGATGGGATGGCATGTCGCTGCAGGATGCTGTGGTAGCCATGCTGGTTCAGTGTGCCTTCAATTTTGAATAAATCCCCAACAGTGTCACCAGCAAAACACCCCCACACCATCACACCTCCTCCTCCATGCTTCACAGTGGGAACCAGGCATGTGGAATCCATCCGTTCACCTTTTCTGCATCTCACAAAGACACGGCGGTTGGAACCAAAGATCTCAAATTTGGACTCATCAGACCAAAGCACAGATTTCCACTGGTCTAATGTCCATTCCTTGTGTTTCTTGGCCCAAACAAATCTCTTCTGCTTGTTGCCTCTCCTTAGCAGTGGTTTCCTAGCAGCTATTTGACCATGAAGGCCTGATTGGCGCAGTCTCCTCTTAACAGTTGTTCTAGAGATGGGTCTGCTGCTAGAACTCTGTGTGGCATTCATCTGGTCTCTGATCTGAGCTGCTGTTAACTTGCGATTTCTGAGGCTGGTGACTCGGATGAACTTATCCTCAGAAGCAGAGGTGACTCTTGGTCTTCCTTTCCTGGGTCGGTCCTCATGTGTGCCAGTTTCGTTGTAGCGCTTGATGGTTTTTGCGACTCCACTTGGGGACACATTTAAAGTTTTTGCAATTTTCCGGACTGACTGACCTTCATTTCTTAAAGTAATGATGGCCACTGGTTTTTCTTTAGTTAGCTGATTGGTTCTTGCCATAATATGAATTTTAACAGTTGTCCAATAGGGCTGTCAGCTGTGTATTAACGTGACTTCTGCACAACACAACTGATGGTCCCAACCCCATTGATAAAGCAAGAAATTCCACTAATTAACCCTGATAAGGCACACCTGTGAAGTGGAAACCATTTCAGGTGACTACCTCTTGAAGCTCATGGAGAGAATGCCAAGAGTGTGCAAAGCAGTAATCAGAGCAAAGGGTGGCTATTTTGAAGAAACTAGAATATAAAACATGTTTTCAGTTATTTCACCTTTTTTTTGTTAAGTACATAACTCCACATGTGTTCATTCATAGTTTTGATGCCTTCAGTGAGAATCTACAATGTAAATAGTCATGAAAATAAAGAAAACGCATTGAATGAGAAGGTGTGTCCAAACTTTTGGCCTGTACTGTGTGTGTGTGTGTGTGTATGTATGTATGTATGTATGTATGTATATATATGTGTGTGTGTGTGTGTGTGTGTGTGTATATATAATATAAAAATATTTTAACAAGCATGGTATCATTTAGGATGACTGGTGGACAACATATGGCAATTTTATTTCAGTTCAAGGTCTACAAGCCCCTTTCCTACCAGACAAAAGACCCACTAACACCTGCTAACATCTGGCTTTATGTAATTGTAATGTAAGGTTACAATCACAATTCACTCCCAGGACAAATGACTCTGCAGTAGTTGCGAGTATCAATCAGCTCCGGCTCTGATCGGCTTCATTCGGCAGTGATGGACACAATACTAATTTTAGCCCCTTTGCAAGTGCGATGCAATGATTTGCCACCATGATACCATCCATCTCAAGCCAAACAGAGCTGAAAAATTGTTTGTCATTTAGGCGCCGCTAAGCTTGAGGGACTTGAAAGACTGGTTAAGTAAGAGATACAAAAAATATGTTTACAGACCATTTTTTGGCCTGTCTGTGATGTCGAACATGATGCACAAGGGAAAAAGAAGAAACAAAGCCATACTTACCTGCTGCAGAATCCATATAAGTATAAATGGCTCTGGTTTAATTGCAGTGGGAAAGTAGTCTCTTGCCTATTATCGCCTAAGCGTTGCCTTTAAAAACCCACATGTGCACTAATTTTGGTGGAAAAATAACCTCACTTTTGTTAAGTTAATCATTTTAAATATTTTGCTTTTTTCCAGTTCTAAATAAATGTATGCTTGTTGATTTTAGTTATAATATTTTTTAAAAAACTTGTACAAAAAGAGGGACATTCTACTTGCTTCTTTTTGGACTCATTTGTAAGCCAGATGTGAGTGAGGAATTTCCTTCACATCCAGCCTTAAATCCTTGACATTCTTACTCTGTGTGTAGCCTTTGTCACTTAATAAACTTTCCATGATGCCACCATTAGGTTTTTTCAAAATCTCATCCTTAAGTGGTGACCTTTATCAACTCTCTTCTGTGCACCTCCAGTAAAACAGGCCTAGTGACCACAGCCTGGGACCGACTGTACTTCTTCACCCAGGGAGGAAACCTCATGTGCCAGCCGCGTGGGGCAGTGGCGGGGGGCATGGTGCTGGACCTAGACAACAGTTCTGTCATGGCTGTGGAGTGTGAGGACAGACGCTACTGCTTTCAGATAACCTCTCCCACAGGCAAAACGTACGTTTACTTTTTCTACATATCCAACAATGAGAATAATGCACACATGTGATATTGTTTGTATTTTATTTAATTCTCCCCATTGTCATAAATGCCTCCAGGTCAATGATTCTACAAGCCGAGAGCAAAAGGGAATATGAAGAAGTAAGTGTCAAAGAGGTCGTTCAAACAGCTGTGTTTAATCTTCATTATTGTTTTACGTCTTCATCCCAAACACATCTGCTGCTGCAAGTATCAGTCACATAACAATGGAGGAGCTGTGGAGACTTACTGGTGTGGTTTTCATATTTGGTTTTGTGCTTGGACGCATCTGACTGGCCTGTCACAGCTGGTATCAGTCAAGTGAACTCAAGTGGCTCAAGTCTGAGTGAGAGGAAGTCTTGATGTGGATCTCTGTTTCTTTTTCAGTGGATTTGCACTGTGAACAACATCTCCAGACAGATCTACCTGACTGACAACCCAGAGGTAATGCACACTCCCACACAGTTCATATCCACTGTGCAGGTTACAAAAGACACCACCTAAAGCAAATATCTAAGAATCAACGGTCCAGTGTGTAGGATTTAGAGGGATATAGTGATAGAAATAGAATATAATAAGTATGTTTTCTTTAGTGTATAATCACCTGAAAATTAGAACCATTGTGTTTTAAGTTACCTTAGAACGAGCTGTTTACATCTACATAGGGAGCTGCCCTCGTCCATGAAGATTGCCATGTTCTTAAAGGACAAACCAAACACTGATAGGGCCATTCATGTTTTCCTGTCAGCCACCATAATTAGCAGACCGTCCGAGACGAACCAGAGAGCGCAGAAAAAAAGACTGATTTTTCTGATTTAATTCATCAGGTCTGTTTGTTTTGGAGAGGAGGAGACCTCTGCAGATAATTCGGCTCCTGGTAGAAACCCCCTGAACAATGAACATTAAAGGAACTCTTAGCAGGTGTTCATGCTTGGCACATGGAAGAAGATTCAGTGGGTTGAAATTGGCAATCCTCACAGCTAGATGACACTAAATTCTACACACTGCTCCTTTAAGCCCTTTTTCACCTTTTCCTTTAAACCCCCACTAATATCTGGTGTTAGTGGAAAATGTAGTAATAGCAAATATATTTCTATAGCACAATACATACATAGGGCAGCTCAGTGTGCTTTACATAGATAAAACAAAAAGCGCATCCATATATAAATGTAATTAAAAGAAAGCACAAACTACATAAAATAGTCATTAAAAACGATTTAATATAGTGAAAAGAAAAGTACAAAATGGTTTAAGAACATAATGGAAGTGACCTCAGTTTTGCTCAGACCTGAGTCCCTCGATCTAGGTTTTTATTCTGTAAACATATCAGAGATGTAGTCCGGGCCTAAACTATCAGTGATTTTAAGACAAGTAGCAGCACATTAAAATCTAATCTGTAACTAACAAAGCCAGTGTGGAGATGTTAGAACTGAAGCAATGAGCTCCCTTCTCTTGGTCCTAGATAAAGCTTTAATAGCAGCATTCTGGGCAAGCTGTAGCTGTTTAATGGTCCCTTTGGGAAGACCAGTTAAGACACCATTACAGTGGTTAATTTAACTGGAAATAAAAGCATGGATAAGCTTTTCTTGATCATTTTGGGACACCAAACCCCTTGATTCAGCTTCCATTCTCCAGGACAAATGACTTTGTAGTAGTCGCAGGTATTTATCAGCCCCAGCTTCGATTGGCAGTGATGGAAACATGACACCTAGGTGGATACGCTCATTTTTACGTTTCCATTGCGACAGTCAGGACTTGTGCGACTCTTTGTCATCTCAGCCACATATTCCGTCTGTCTCAATCCAGGCAGTGCTCAAATATCTTTCCAACTTAGTTGGCGTTGAGTTTTAAAGAAAGACTGAATAAGTAACAGATATAAAATGAAGTAACCACTTTAACATTTTCACTGGCTTCCATGCTGCTTTCTGCTTTTAACTAACCCTGTTTTCTGGCATATTGATGACGTTGAATGTAACACCAGAAAAAAACAGCAGAATGGCAATGAAAGGAATGCTTTTAGTGTGTTTACCAGCATTTCAAAAACTGCATATATGTGCTAAGTTTGGTAGAAAAGGGGAATTAGAAACATTTCATTGATCATGGTTGTTGGACTATCACCCCCTCTGTTGTGAGTTGATCAGGCAGTAAGAGTCATGTATTTGTTGTTCAACCACTTAAAATCAATAACGCATGTGAGGTATAAACTTTTTCTCTGCTAAAGAGACATAAAATATAATGGCGCTGTTCCAATGCTGTCATGTAGAACAGCCTCCCTCTTCTCTCTGAAGTGTCTCACAGCTGTTGTTCCCTTCTCTGCTTTTCAATCCCATTCAATGTTTGCAGGAGGGTTGGCTCTATGAAAATGTTTATTCTTCAGATTCTTCAGAGACAAACAGACTATCGCTGTGTCTGCAATCACATATTTATTTTCCCTACATGATAATTACTTTGTGGTTTACCACAGAGTAAGTAATAATGAGTTTTCAAACATTAATCTGACAGGTGTAGTGTTGCATAACTTCAAATCACATACTTGTCATCTTAGCATTTTTAGTAAATAGTTGTGTATCTGTTCACACTATTGAAACTACTGCATATTCTCTGTTCCATCGTGGGAACTTCTGATGGTGCTGCATGTAATTCAGGCAGCAGCTGGGAGGTAAATTTAGTGCACCAAGCAGCAAATGGAGAATAATTTTGGATTCAGCTTATTTAGTTTATCTCATTGTGAAAGTTGTCGATGTGGAAAATTTGCCCTCATTCTCTCCCAGTGTGGGTGTTTCAGCAAAACAGCATGGACTCACCCTCATTTGTATGCAAGCAAATACCTGGTTAGTTATTTGTATTCTGTTGCTTCTTCGGTCTCTCATTTCTTCTTTTTGTGACCGCTGTTTATCGTTTTATTGGCAAAAAAAATTGAGCGTTCTTGTTGTTGTTGCCACTAATAAGATTCAAATAACACAATGCAAAGACGAAACTCCAACACAGCACTCCAATAAATCCTTGAATTATAATATCCTATATCATAAATGACAGTTTTATTTTTTTAATTTTAAGCGTGGATTATAAATTGACTATTTGGGTTTTAGATTATGAAATATTTTACAATTATATTTCAATATACATTTCAATTAAATGATTAAATCCAAGTACTATGAGTGTAGCACTACTTTTTTGTACCATTAGATACACTAAGGTATTTCATAGTACTGGCTGTATTTAGCAAAAATGACTATTTTTCTCCCCAAATTCAACACTTGATGGTGTACACCTGTGTCCAGAAATGACTATAAACACTTAGTTTAGACCTTAGATCATTTTCTTTACCTGAAAGAAACTCAGAAACCAGAAACAATTAAATTATATATTTTTAAAGGATTATTCCTGGTGAATAGACCCTTCTCATTGGTTCACAGAGCAAAGATAAGATTGAGATAATGTAGAGAATTGGTGAGACATAAGAGAAAAAGTTAGAACTTGGTAATGTTTTAAACATTTCAGACATATTTACACGCTATTTTGGTTTTATAAATGACTCGCCTGCTGTTACAGAGATACTGCAATGTCCCTGTGTCCCTGTTAGGCTGTGGCCATTCGACTGAACCAGACGGCCATCCAGGCAGTGACCCCGATCACCAGCTTTGAGAAGAGACCAGAGGGCTCGCCCAACCCTGACAGGTCAGGCATGCTGCTTGTCATAACACTACAAACTGCATCCTCCCCTGAAGTTTATAATTAAATGCTTTTACAGCCGCAAGTCTTCATAACTTTAAAAACTGAGGATTAAGCAGCACTGTCCTTTTGATCCATTTGTGACATGCATTGTTTTGGATTGGGCTCTTAATGTCAGTATTTATTGTTAAAACTAGTTTGTGTGTGTGTGCAACACTGTAAACACGACATCTTCCTCTGCATGAATTTGTTCTTGGTGTGTATACAGAGATTGTGAATTTAAAATAATGGAGAGACAAAATGTCAGCCTATAATTACTGAGGATGATAATCATTAAACGGAAAGAGAGTCTGCATTTTGTCTCTTTTCCACTAAAACTGACAGTTTGCAACAAGCGATCACTTGTCCATTCGCCACACCGCTTCCCCGAACAACAACTGTCCAATTACATTTTAGCAACCGTAACTAGGCATGTCAGGACTGTCAAGCTTTCTCGGCCTGTTGAAGCTCTCCTCCTGGGGCTCTAATTGGAGCAATGCTCCTTATATAAATATTTGGGAAATTGGTTTCTTTCTCAGTGTTCCCAAAACCAAAAAGATGAGAGCTCAAGTGTGAGGAATAGAAAAAAAATTGTGTTTGTCTGCTCCAATGTAAGATGCACATGTTAGCATGCCTGGCCAACTAGCTTATTTCTTAGCATACATGGTAGTTTAACCCAACTTCAAAGACCCTTGAACATTTCATACCAGATTACTTGGTAGGGTTGCATATTACATGCCTATATGTACACTGAAAGCATTATAGGTTGGTGTAAAGGGCAAATTTGCAATATGATGGAGGACAAAACATACAGTCCATCCATTATGCAAAAATGCACTCTATAGTTTTCATCACAAATTTCCCTGTAGAGGAATACAGGTTTGATCCCCTATCATTTACATTGGAGTTGAGCTGGAAAGGGATCTCAGTGTGAACAGGAGAAACAATTGCCTCTTTTGTATTATATTGTGTTATAAGGTGAGTTCAATAGTATTTTAACCTGGACCCTGTTTGCCCATGTTTTTGTGTCTAAGTAAAGAATGGGAGCACCATTTTTTGAAACCGATCCAGCATTGAGCAAAAGAGCAGCAGCCAGCAGCTTCAAAACATGTTGCAATACGATCAACAAAGGGATTGTTCATCCGTCAATGTACATCCACTGTAGGACCTTGTTTTTGCCCCCGACAGGCTCAGATTATTATTCTAAGTTTCTGATAACATCACGGAAAGGATCCTTGCAGTGGTAAACTTTTCATTAAAGAGCAACGTACTTTTTGTGTACCAGAAACAGCCCTGAAATCGCTATTGTCAAACCTACAAGACATAATTTAAATAAACAGCAACTTTAGCATGTTCAGAGCTAGTTTATTTTCACATCTAACTAGGTGAATTAAGGGTTTATTTCAATCAAAGCAGATTAATGTTGGAACAGTGGAAAGACGAACCAAGACGGCTTTTGTCAGTTTTGTTTTGTTTCCGTTGACTTTGAATGAAGTACAGTTTACAATGATAAAATTACTGTCTATTTAAATGAAATCTGGAGGGATTGGCAATAGCGATGTTTGGCTGTTTCTAGATAACAAAAAGCACTTTTAGTGGACATACATAAAGGTGTGAACGTGCACTAAATGGTTGCGTTACAGCCTGTTTTGCTGCTGCCGGCTTGCTCAATACTGGCCTTCATTGTCATTTGTTCTAATAAGATACTTAGACACAAAAACATAGGAAAAAATGGTCCTGGATGAAAAACACTGAACTTATCCTTTAAGACTGACTGTAAGACGTGGACTTGTCGTTTAAGTTTAGTAGTGGACATATTTGGGTTTACTTGACTTATTCATTATGACTCATTTTCATTCTGTGTGTCTCATTCCTGCAGAGCGAAACCAGGAGGTGTAAATGCTGCCAGTGGTGGTTCTCAGAAGTCAGGGGCTGCTACGGAGCCAGAAGACTTGATAGCCCCTGGGACACCCATTCAGTTCGACATCATGCTGCCAGCCTCCGAGTTTCAGGACCAGAACAGGGCTGGAGGGAGGTGAGGGAACAACTGGCAGGAAGTTTGTGTGGATGTATGTTTGTGAGAGATGGGCAGGAATGACTGGTACTGATGCATGATGAAGCTAATTTCCTGAAAGTTGGCCTTGTTGTGGTTATTATACAATTTCCAGGAAGCTGAATGCTTCTTGATGGTTCAATGCAGGGGTCTAATTGTTTTTTGCTGGTCTGTGTGCTCCCTTCCTGGCAGACGCACAAATCCTTTTGGAGAAACAGACGACGACTGTTCAACAGAAAGTGACGGTAAAAATCTTCCCCAATGCAGCTTAACGGTCTACATTCTTTGTGTCAAGGGCTGTTTGAGTTCTGCTTAACCTCGCTGTGTGTGCCTGTGTACCTTTTATTCTCCTACATGAGTGCTCCTATGCTTCTTTTTTAATGTTTATGCTTCTGACTTGTTTGTGTTTGTGTGTGGGTGATGTGTGTGTTTCCGCAGACTCCCTCCTGCAGCAAGTATTCGCTGTGCGCTTCCAGGGCTCAATGGCGGTGCGCTGTGGCAACAATCAGGAGGTCATCTAAGAGGCCATGAGGCAGGTGCTGGCTGCCCGAGCCATCCACAACATCTTCAGGACCACCGAATCCCACCTCATGGTCACCAGCAGTAGCCTCAGGTAGAATTTATCACATATTTTTGAAGTGTGACATGAATACCACCTCAGACAGAAAAAACTGATTTGACCTCAGCATGTAGAGATGGTGACGCACTCAGAAATTCCCTTGTTAGTAAATAATTGCATGAAAATATTACTTGAGAATAGAGTCCGAAATGAATGCCCAAGCAAAGTTAGCTTGCACTGCACATTTATTTAATGTTTTTTTGTCGAATTACTTCCAAACATCACTCTTATGCATGGTTAAAATTCTGCCTGTCAGGTTAGATCGAGTAATGTCTCACTAAAAACGTTCAATGTTGTCTGCAGCTGCGCTGATCTATCATTTTTGCTACAAGGGTCTGTGCAGATATTCATTGATAGCAGTGACATCACTGAATCCCATCCAAAAAATGTGAACTTTTAATATAGAACAGGGTGAATTTATTTATATTCATTTACAAGAAAAATACAAACAAAATGCCTTTACCCAACTCAAGTGCTATAGTACTCATGCTGATCCCTAATATAGATAGAAAACGCCCAAGCAGATGCTTCAGTTATTGTTGTCTGCCCAGAATGCTGACAGACGTTAAACTACAACATTCACCTGCTATGGTGCAAAACATTCTACCCTTTGATAGTCATGTGCCAAAGGCATGGAGAAAAAAGATGCTCTATTCAAAGTGCAGTGTATGTTTTCTCAGCAGTCTTTTTGGTCCTCTTCCTCTGTGCAGAAACAGTAATCCTATAATATTCTTGTAATATTTCAATGGTTTAAACATTCCACACAGCTTCACAATCTTTTTATGCTATCAGTTAGGAATTAATTTCATTTTGGTTCAAATCTGTCTTTGTGATAACCTTGTTTTATCCTCAATCACAGCTGTATCGTCCTGAAATCCTGTAGCCTCCCACACTAAAGTTGACGGCAATTACGCTTGCTACTGCAAGTGCAATTAAACCTTCGCAAGTAAAAAGCCAATACTTTATCAATACATATGTTCAGCAAGCATTTTTTTTAAGTTAATATATTTTTTAAAAAGCAGTTATTTAGAAATGAAAATGAACAGACGAGAGAATCAAAAAAGTGCAAAACCCATAAGGAGTACGGATAAGAGAAGTAGTATCAATAAAAATCTTAACGAAAGCCATCCCTAAGAGTGCAGCTGGAAAAGTTGATGTGCTATATATCTGCTTTACTAACTGAAGACAAAGCGAAGACCTCAAAGCAAAAATCTTTTTCTTTTGGCGCACTACCAAGCAGAAAAATCTGCAACATACAACTCTTTTGTACACTGCTCGGCTTATCCAACAAAAACATGTAATTTCGAGCTGCTGTATAACCCATGATTGATTTTTTTTTTTTTTTTTTTTTTTTTTTTTTTACATTTGTTAGGCTTTACCTTGTGTAAGCAATGTTCAAGCATAAGACTACAGGGGGGAAAAACTAATGGATCCAAAGTCAAGGCTGTGTCAGTGGTGTTTCATTTTCTTGTAAAAGTCTCTGTTTTGTTTTCACATTAGGTTGATTGACCCTCAGACTCAAGTCACAAGAATAAGCGTAAGTATGAGAAAAGATCAAGTCAGTATTTATCCAGACTCTCTTTTCATTAACAGATTGAGGTTCAGTCGTGCCTAGGGTTGCAAAATAGGAGAATATAGAATCTTTAAGATGAAAACTTTCTATGGGAATTCATGGAATAAAATGAATATATAGGAATTATGTTCTTTGGCTTTTTTTAACCATGTCATATGCAGACATAATTGATTCATTTGACAAATAAATCTGTTAATTTGTCAAATACATTGTGTGAAATGTTCCTTGTGAGGATTTGGCTAACTTAGCTAGCAAGTTCACTAATGGGGAAAGGTACTTTGAAAATTTGAGCCAGCAATTTGAAGTAATTTATGAAATAAAATGTTTTAAAATAAAGATTGAATGTAAATAAATAAATTAAACTCCTTAGCATGCTCAGTGAAGCTACATCCCACATGGTAACAATTAGCTAGCAAAAACTAGCAGAATGTGTAACATTATAAACTGAATTTTGCTTTAGGCTACTATCTGCTAATTAACTGAAACAAAAAAATAGATATATTTAAAGCATTAATATAATCAAAATGTGCATGAAAGCATGTTGTCCTTTGGCTCAGGTATTGCAGTAGTGTTAGCAATAGTGTGGGCTGTATTGATGATGAGAGGAAATACTTTGAATGCAGAGAGTTGTGATTTTACTGAATTCCTATTAAATGGGATGTGATGAAGAGTGCGCTGTTGAATGCAGAGCATGGTTACAATTCAATTAAATGTGCATACATTTTACCAAAACATGCCAGTACACCTAATATTGATTTTTATGCATATTTTTCCCCTTCATAAGTTCACTTTTTAAAGATTCTTATGTTGAAATTGTGCAAAATATCGCTTAGCTTAAAATTTCCATAAATTTACCAATCTGTTACAACCCTAGTCATGTCTGTACTATGATCCAGCTCCTGCCACAATTTTAAAAATCTTTATTCTCTCCCTGTCACTTCTTTCATTTCTCAGTTCCAACTCGGAGAAGTGTGTCAGTTTGCAGCCCACCAAGAGAACGGGAGGCTGATGGGGTTCGTGGTCGAGGGCAGAGACTGGAGTGATGGAGATGAGGAGGGAGAGCCCTCATTTAGCGCCTTCGTCTTTGAGAGCAACACAGAGGGCGAAAAGGTTAATACACCCAACATTGATGGTTTTTTTTTTTACACTTTTTTGACATACCATACTATGACTACTTTATGACATACTATCCTATGACCTTTTTTGCATTTTAATGACATACTGTACTTTTTTTTGCCTTTTTTTACAGTACAATACTATAATTTGTTTTGCATTTTTATGACATACTATACTATGACTTTTTTGCACTTTTTTGACATGCTGTACTGTGATTTATTTTGCACTTTTTGACATACTATACTATATTCTATATTTTACTATGACCTTTTTTAGCATTTTTACGATGTACAGTACTATGACTTTTTTTTTTTGCATTTTTTGACATACTATACTATGACTTTTTTTTGCATTTTTGTGACATACTATACTATGACTTTTTGTTGAGTTTTATGATGTACTATACTATGACCTTTTTTGCATTTTTATGACATACTATACTATGACCTTTTTTGCATTTTTATGGCATAATATACTATGACTTTTTTTTCTGCATTTTTGACATACTATACTTTTTTTTTGCATTTTTATGACATACTGTACTATGACTTTTTTATGACTTACTATACTATGACTTTTATTTTACTTACTATGCTGTGATTCTTTTTTTGCATTTTTTATGACATACTATACTATGACTATTTTATGACTTACAATACTATGACTTTTTTTGCACTTTTTGATATACTATAGTATGACTACTTTATGACATACTATCCCATGACCTTTTTTGCATTTTTATGACTTCCTATACGATGACTTCTTTTTTTTTTTTGTCATTTTTAAAAAATACTATAATATGACTTTTTTTGGCATTTTTGTGACATACTATACTATGACCTTTTTTTTTTGGCATTTTTGTGACATACTATACTATGACTTTTTGTTTTTTTTTCCCACTTTTTTGACATACTATACTATGACTTTTTTTTTTGCATTTTCTTGACATACTATACTATGACTTTTTATTCACTTTTTGACATACTATACTATGACTATTTTATGACTTACTATACTATGATTTTTTTGCATTTTCTTGACATACTATACTATGACTTTTTCACTTTTTGACATACTATACTATGACTATTTTGACATACTATACTATGACTTTTTTTTTTGCATTTTCATGACATAATATACTGACTTTTTTTTGCACTTTTCTGACATATCATACTATGACTATTTTATGACTTACTATACTATGACTTTTTTTTGCACTTTTTTGACATACTATACTATGACTATTTTGACTTCCTATACTATGATTTTTTTGCATTTCTTTTTACACACTATACTATGACTTTTTTTGCATTTTCATGGCATAATATACTATGACTTTTTTTGCACTTTTCTGACATAGCATACTATGATTATTTTATGACTTACTTATACTATGACTTTTTTGGATTTTTTTACATACTATACTATGACTTTTTTTTTCACTTTTTTGACATACTATACTATATTTTATGACACACTATACTATGACTTTTTTACGACATACAATACTATGACCTTTTTTTTTGACATACTAAACTATGATTTTTTTTGCTTTTTTTTGGACATATTATACTATGACTTTTTTTGCATTTTAATGACATACTTTCCTATAAATATTTTTTGCAATTTTTTGGCATACTACACTATGATTTTTATTTATATATATATAATTTTTATGACATACAATACCATGACTTTTTTTGCATTTTAATGACATACTATACTATGACTCTTTTATGACTAACTATACTATGACCTTTTTTGTATTTTTATGACATACTATACTATGACTATTTTATGAATGCTTTGCTTTTTTTTGACATACTGTACTATGACTTTTCATGACATACTATACTATGACTTTTTTTCTTGCGGTGTTTTTGACATAGTATACTATTTTTGCATTTTTATGATGTACTATACTGTGACTATTTTATGATTTACTATACTATGACCTTTCTTTTTGCATTTTTTTGACATGCTATATGATGACTTGTTTCTGCATTTATTTAACATACTATTGTTATGTCCCCGGTCTAGGGGAACCTAGACATAACATGATGTGACTCCCCACTCTTCCCACTCCCAAGAAAGGCCAGTTGCACAGTTGTCAAACAACAAAGAAGCAGTTTATTTTTTCTTCGGATGTCAGCAGTGCCCAAAACAACAAACAAAATATACTTGTGGACCCTAAACCTGCATAGCAATAACGAAATGTAAAACAAAAGACAATTTTCTAATCTAAATTCCTACCTTTCAAAACAGGAGAAAAAAACATGGCAATGACAAACAAAAAGGGCTTCTCACTCCTATTAATACTGCTTTTGTGCTCTATTTACAGTGCTCTGCAAAAACGATACAAAAAAAACCTACTAATACTCCCAAACATTAAGCTGCTAAATAAAACTATACTCACGGACTCAAAATTGATCATATATCTCTCTTACTTAACAGAGTTATCAATATACACACACTGGTCTCCTCATTCTAGTAGACCAGTGTGTGTATATTGATAACAGAGTTATCAATATACACACACTGGTCTACTAGAATGAGGAGTTCTTGGCCTGCAGTTACTTCCACACAAATGCAAATACAGTCTAAGTATACTACTGGCTTTGTTGGTGGTGTACGGGTGAAAGGAGGGAAGAGCTTCTGTCTGCTGGTGGTTTAAAAGCCCTCTGTCTCGCAGTGAGCCAATCCGGCAACAGCAATCTTCTTAGGCAGCCCAATCAGCACTCGCCACCTGCTTTGCAACAACCAATCATGCTTCAAACATGCATACTCTGACAGGAGGAAAGAGCACATGTTAAAGGTCACTGCAGATCAACACAAGGACAATACCAAAAAATAATGACTCGGGTCATAACACTATACTATGACTTTTTCTTTGCATTTTTTTGACATACTATACTATGACTATTTTATGACTTACTATACTATGACTTTTTGTTGATTTTAATGACATACTATACTATGACCTTTTTTGCGTTTTTATGACATACTATACTATGCCTTTTTTTTGCATTTTCATGACATACTATACTATGACTTTTTTTTTTTGCATTTTCNCTATGACTATTTTATGACTTACTATACTATGATTTTTTGCATTTTTTTTGACATACTATAACTATGACTTTTTTTTTTCACTTTTTTGACATGCTATACTATGACTATTTTATGACATACTATACTACACAAAATCAAAGTCCAGTTGCCTGGACTTTCGATTTAATTGTTGCCAGAATATATTATGACTTTTTTTTTGCATTTTCATGAAATAATATACTATGACTTTTTTTGCACTTTTCTGACATATCATACTATGACTATTTTATGACTTACTATACTATGACTTTTTTGGATTTTTTTTTACATACTATACTATGACTTTTTTATGACATACTATACTATGACTTTTTTTTGCATTTTCATGACAGTCATGGTATACTATGTCAAAAAAGTGCTTAAAAAAGTCATAGTATAGTATGAGTATTTAATGTCATACTATACTATGACTTTTTTAAGCATTTTTTTGACATACTATACTATGTCTATTTTATGACTTAATATAATATGACCTTTTTTTTGCAATTTATGACATACTGTGACTTTTTATTAGATTTTATGACATACTATAGTATGACTGTTAGGACAAACCATCCTATGAGCTCTTTTGCATTTTTATATTATATTTAAGGATTGCTGCATGTACCCTGTATATTAATGTTTATCTTTTTGTTTTCACAGATATGTTACACCATTAGTTTGGCGAAGGAGATTGCAGAAGCCAAGAAGGTATCATCATCATTATAGAAACACACAGAACATTTCTTGCATTTAAAGTCAAAACCAGTTGATAAGTGTTTGATTAAGATGTTTGTTTTTTCCCTTTGAAACATGCTAGGAACACAACCATTTAAGTTTCTTATTTGGTTTGATTTTATTTTTCTTCAAGGACCCAGAGGCCCTGGCCCAGCTGATGAAGAACATGCCTCTCACCAATGACGGTAAGTTCCTGCTGCTGGAGCCTGAGACGGGCGACACAACCAACGGAGCAGAAGACGACCTTGAGTCTGAAGCCTAGTCCCAGCTAGGACCAAAAGAAAAACAACCAAGACCAGGGCCACGGTCCAGCTTTTGCCCAGGAGAGAAGGCTTTCCCTGGATAACAGTGACATCATGACCCGCTAGCCCTAACTCTGGTACTGTAACACCCATATTAGAGAGTGTAGTTCACTTCCACTTACCCTGTGTTACTAGAGTTTTTTGCTGTCATGAAAGCAGAAGACGTTGGCAGGGGGTTGCCTGGACCCAAAAGCACATCTCGTGGGTGCTCCATTAGATCTGCTTTTCTAAGGTCAGACTGTAGCATGGGTCTTTGGATTTGGAGTTGTTTTTACACCACTGTGGGTGGTACTTCCGTCAAAAGGGACACTATATAGATATTGATTGTCATTCATTGTTTTCTAATATCCCCAGCCATCTAACAGAAGGTGGTGACTCGTTTGCTTCATTTTAGGTTTACATAGTTTGGAGTCTGTCTGTTTTCCTTTACTTTGTTTTACATGTTAACTTGTATGTAAGGCTTTTATGCAACTACTTTGGTGTTTTTTTTTCTTTATTTGTGTACAAAAAAAAAGTTATTGCACTTCCAAGGTTAATATTTACTTAATAATGCTTGATGGCTACAGAATGCACTAACTGAGGCATTTGAAGGATCCTAAACTTAAGATAATGAAGAACTTAAAATAGGTAAAAATCACATTGGTTTCTTTTCTCTGCAGACGAGTGACTGTTGCGTTGCTTGTTGTTGTTACTGTGTGAGCATGTGTGTCCTGAAGCAGTGGACACAGTTGGTGGAGCGATTAGACTGAATTTTTGTTCTCTCTGCACTCTTGCCACTATCTAAAGCATTCCCTGTAAACTGAATCAAGTTTAGGATGATCTTTATTAACATGATCTGTATGCAAGGTCCTTCTCAAGCAGCCCAAATATTCTTAAGTAAAACTGGTACTTTGCTTTAGGTTTGTTGAAAGCCTGTGTAAATACGAACTGTCTGAGTGTCTATATGATGTTTAATCAGAGTTGGCTGCATTGAAGGCTTTCACTTTTAAAAGCTAGGACAGATGCGGTGCATGATTAAATAATGGCATTCTCTCTCAGTCCATTCGCAGAGATTAAAACCTCTAAATTGAACACTGAGCTGTAATACTAAAAAAAATAAAACCACTGAAACGTTACAGTAACGCATGTAGGCAGAACACAGTGGTGTATTATGTACTTTTTGAAAAGCAGCTCGCTCTTTGCTCACACACATAAATATTAAACGGAACAAAACTGAAGGGAAGCGACTGATCTGTGAAATTCTGCCTTCTCTTTAGATCCCAGTGCAGTTTTATACCATTTCAGCCTATTTGAAATGTAACGCTAATCTCAATGGACAGAGGAAGCCTGTGGTGCACTGTGTGAATGTGACATGTTTTGGTACTGTGTAAAACAGACGAGGTCAAAACCACTGACTTGACGTTGATCGTGAAAGTAACATTGTATTGACCAGTGAGTGTCTGCTTGCTTTTTCTCCTCTGTATCATCAGAGCTCTTGGTAGAATCACATTAAACAAGAATTAAGTGTGGATATTTGAGGACTGCCTGCTCTACTGGTGACTAGTTATGATTGTTTGATTGACTTATCATCATGAAGGAAATCTTAATAGCACAATGTAGTGGCTGTAGAATGACACCAACAGTGTTTAGAGCCTATAAGGCCCACTGTGTCTGTCTGCCACCGGGTACGAAAATAAAGGCTTGCTTTACGCAACCAAAACAGAAGGAGGATAGCGCTTCTGTCTTTCCCTGTAGCTTTCCCCATGTACGAAAGAATATCAATTAAAGTTCTTTGTAGGTACTATCCCTGGTAGCAGAAATGGCAGACAAAGTAACTGAAAAACAAAATGTGTCCTGTGTTGTTGGTAGCTGATAGGCTCTGAGATAAATAGAGAGCATTCTAGTTGTTTTTGTGACAGCAGCGCCACAATACTACCACTAAGGATAAAGCTGAAAAATTGTCTATCTACACTTAAAATATGAAGCTACAGCACAGCACAGATAGTGGGAACAGCTAGCCTGGCTCTGTCAAATGGTACCAAAATCTTTCTAACTATCTAATTATCACAAATGAATACCTAATATATCATTAGTTTTATCCTTGTAAAAACATAAAGGTAACATTTGATAGATGGTTTTGTGCTGGACTGTTTCTTGGCTGTAGCCAGTAACTTCTTGGAGTCTCTACTGGTTGCCTGGCAACCGGTCAGGGCCAAGAAATACTCCAGCACATAACTCCCTCAGAAAATGTTTTTACGTTTCAGTTTTTGTGCATTTTTTTAAACAAATAAACAAATATTATTTAATAAGCTTTAAAAGTGCTGGTAGCTGGACTTCGTCACTAATTGACAGTTTCCTTTCTACTGTGATTGTGCTAAGCTAACTGACAGCTGGTTGTAGCCTTACATGTAACGGACAAATACAAGAGCTCTATCCATCTCCTCTAACTCTCCTCCAGAAAGCGAATGTGTATTTTCCTAAATGTCAAATGTTTGCTTGAAGTCGTAACGATGAACCATTTCTTTCTGTTTCCTGATGTAAATGCATATCGACAGCTATTTTGATGCTATAAAGAAAATGTCCATCCACGAGACTTGTACCCTCCGTCCTCAGGTGTTGGTTGAGAAGCTTCAATCACACCATTAATAAAACTACAGCAATGCATATAAAGCAGGCTTAGAGCATCAGTCTACAGAAGTCTGAGATCTTTTTCTGTTTGATGACCGACATGAGCTGCTGCCTGTGTTCCTTTGATTGATGGCTCAGCTGGTGAGGAGTTTCTCTGACTTCACCTTCCACTCAAGAAACCAAATCCTCTTATTGTGGCGTGCTGCAGCCCATTACACCTCCTACAGCTGTGCTGCATAGTCTTGATATATTTTTGCTTTGCCAGTTAATGCACAGTCAGGAAAAATCTGGGTCCTCATTGTGAGGAAAATAAATTCCAGTAATATAGCAAGGGCTGCATTTTCTCCCCTCTCTCTGTCTTTTTGTAAATGGCTGAAGTTGACAGAATCCATTACCCATAAGGCTTTGCACTTAATTTGTCCTAGTTTTCTAAAAACCAATGCTAACATGCAAACTTTAATAAATGTAAGTATTTTTTTCTTACTCAAGTAAATGTGTTTTCTTTACGTCCCAAAAGAACTGTCACACCAACACTAGAGAATAAAGCGTTTATTTAACAAAGCATTAAGCTTTACTATTTACAGATAATTGACAATGTATATGCACTTAAAATATACATAGACACCTGAGCAGGAGACATCACAGCAGACATCAGCTTCATCTCAGCTACAATCTTTGGCAGCACAGTTTGAGCAGGAAAGCCATTAATCAAGCACACACATGTTCAAATCCTGCATATTGATTGCCTAAACTGGTTTAAATGTCAAATACATGCCTTAATATAAAGTACACTGAAATGAAGGCCAGATGAACTGAATTTATTATATATGTCTGATTATCTGTCTTCTATCTTATAAACACAGAGGGGACTCTACAAGTGTAAACAGTCATGGTACACAGTGATGCGCTGGGTAAGTATTTAACAAATATGTGCCTGTGTTAAGACAAGTACTCACACTTAGCTCATGTACGACATACACACCAGTGTACTGCTCAGGAGTCTTTGTAGTAGTTGTTGAAGTTGATGCGAAGAAGGAAGTCTTCTAGATGAGGCTGGTAGCCTCTGTTCACCAGCTTGGTCACAACTGAGAAGAAGAAAAAACAAAAATACAGCACATAATTAGAAACATACTAAACCTATAAATACATTATAATTAGTTACTGTCACATTAGCATGAAGTTCCCTCTTTGATTTTGTTTCACCTGCCCTGCCTCTCATCGGTTCCTGCCACTATATAGGTGGGGCCTTACCAGTATTGTATGTTTTAAAAGCCCTGACAAAGACTCACAGTGGTTGAGACATGTTGGCTTTTTAATATTTCCTTCCTAATTTTTCTATATTTTTCAGAGTGCCTGGATTGCCTCCCTGTCGATATGGTTAACTATGTATTTAAAGCAACACTTCACCTGCAGAATGAACATTTCCTTCAGTTACTCACAGCGTGTTACCTTGAATTCGTGCCTCCAGTGAACAAAGAATCCCAAAAAGGCGGGCATTTTTTATGAACTGAGGTAAAGCGCCATGTTTAACAACTGCGGAGCTATATAAAGCGTTGCTTACAAGCTGTCACACAGCTCCTGCAATATAATTCCTGTCTCATTTATTCATATGCTCTGTCCCAAACAAGCATTTTCGCTAAAACATACCAGTTAAAACACGTCAGTATAAACAGTCTCATGCAAGGTCGAGTCACGTGCCCAGGCATGCACGTGCGTCTGAGCTTGAACGCTGCTTTTTCTATATTGTCATATCTTAGCGAAAATGCTGTCCTTTGGGAAATACTGAGCGCGTGACTGGATATGAGGCTTGGGTTATACAGCATGAGTTGTGTGAGAGTTTGTCAACAGATGTTTTTGTCATACTGTCGCTGTTATTACACGCAGACCCTGATTACTTCAGTTCATAAAGAATGCTCACCTTTGTTGGGAGTCTCCTTTCACTGTGAGGGACTGCGAGAAAAAGTCTTCTTTATGTTTTCAAGGTAACATACGGTGAGAGACTGACATACAGATGGTTTCTACCAAGCTAGATACTGTTCAGTTTAATTAGAAATACCACACAGACCCTAATATTTCAAAATAAAACAAGCAGCTTTAAGCGATAGGTTTCAATTGAGCTCTTTTGTTTTAGCATTTTTACATTATGTCCCAAAGTCATTACCTCTAATCTAACACCAGATGCTTTACTGATCATCCTCGGCTCATGTTAATCAAAGATGAACCTGACTTCATCTTAGAAACTTCTCTCCTATTTTCTCATCACAGCAAAAAGGCTAATACTCACAAGTGCCAAGAAAGCGACTCTCCCAACCATTAAAATGTGTCTGCACGAGTTAATTAATCCCTTACATTTAGAGAAGATTTGATATGCTTTAAAAAACAAACACTATAATTGGCAACCCTTAATTAAGCTGCAGCTTTAAATTAGAAGACAATCTACATTTTTTTCCCTTTTTAGATTTCACACTATCATACAAATATAAATTAAAGAGATCCTTTTTTCCTCTTCATCTCATTTGTTGCTGTTACTGGTTTTAATTCACTGATTAAAGGTCCAGTGGATACTTTCATAACATCCTTTAGCTTTGTACCTGTGAGCTTTAGAAACCGCTCAATCAAACTATTCACCTTTGAAAAGGAAGTGGGAGTAGTATTTGAAGGTATTGTACGACTGCTGCATGGCGATGAAGCTGGGGTGCACTGCCTCCCCCTGCTGGCTGCCCCAGGGCTGTGCAATCAGCTGCGCCCGAAACTTGAGGATCAGGCTGAAGATGCTGTGGATGATGTTCATGACAGGAGCTGCCTTCTCCGTCAGCAAACCCCTGGGGAGACCAGTGAGTGCAAAGTTTAAGAAACATGACAAGGAACTCTGAAATGGCTTTTTCAGATGGGCTGAAATTCTACACAGAGAAGTGTGATACTGACAACCTCTCCTAATGAGATTAAATCATTCATCGGGTTCAAAAGTTAGCCTCACATCCAGCTGGAATTTTAATTAACTTGTTACGAAGAGGTTGAATTAATTTTATATGAAATTATGGGTGCAGAGAGTTCCACTTCAGCTCGCTGTGCCTGTAAAGAGCCTGAAGAAATCATTTCACTCCGCTGGATTTTTCTACATTTCGTCATGTTGCAGCCTGAAATCACGATGGTTTAAATTAAAACATTCCTGTCTATATAAAGGCTCACAACACTTTGCAGAACACCTTAACAACGTGTGGCTTTGACTCCTGTATTTGAAGAGTCCACAGTCCAAAAAAGCTGCACCCAGTATGGCTGCAATTATCTGTTTTTATCAATTAATATAAAGCTGCCACTGTTAGTCAATCAAAAGAAAAACCCAAATTTAAAGTGCATATGTCAAACATTTTATGGTTCCACTGTCTATGATGTGAGAAAATATATTTTTACAATATAGTTAATCTAATAAAATATTTGAGTTTTGAACTGTTGATGGAACAAAACAAGTATCTGATGACACCTTGGGACTCTACGAGATTGTGAAGGACACTTTTACTGTTTTCGGATGTTTCACCCACCAAACAAGTAAGTTGGAACCAGATAATTTTTAGTATTTTGCCTTTAAAAAATTCCTTAAACCCTGCCGAAAACTAAACCATGACTTTTTAATTTTTTTTATTATCTATACCTGAGATGAACCGATTCTTCTTTACAACACACAAACCTGAAAGCATCTGAAAATTGGAAGTAAGTTCCAAAAGAAAATGGTTAAGTGAGCCCAGTATTTAGGGACTGATCCTAAATTATCTCAAATACCTTGAATCAGAATATGTGCCGATACCAAATGATGATCTAATACCAGTGCTCTCTTTCCAAATTTGAAATCTGTTTACCTCACTATGTGTAAATACTATAAATTGATTTTCTAAAATTTCAGAAAAATGCCAATCACTGTATCCAGTAAGATGAACTCCTTTAATTTATCCCACCCACAGCTCCAAGTCCCCAAAATATATTCACTAGACCAACGTTTGAGAACCTGAGAACATCAAATATTATACAGTTTTACTTGTCAAAATACTTAAAATGGCATGAATCAATTATTAATATAGCTGCTGATTAATTTCCTCTTAATCAAATAATTGATTCACTGACCAATCTTTGCAGCTCTACACTGGAAAATATTTTTGGTGATGTAACACGAGGCCGAGTCCACGGCTCACTATGATTCAATAAATCTAACTGATAGCAGCAACAGTTAACTTTATAATCACACATGGAATCTGTTTTTAATGTGAATTGGTTACGTCATGGCCGATACTCAGACCGCTTAATAAGATGAGTATCACCACTGTTATTGCACCCTGACTAATACTTGAGATAAGAAAACTTAATAAAAGTTAGGAACATCTGGCTCTTCAAAACATTAAATACCTTAACATTATGTGGTGCTGCAAAATATTCGTTTTGGCTCAGAACACTTGAATCTTTTCTTTTTTACTACATTTTGAGAATTTGGGTTATTGCATGGAGACATTTAATAAAAGCAGCAACACCAACAAATTCTGTCAGAGGGGTAAATACTAATATGAAAGTATGCTAAATTACTCTAAAGGCATGAGTGTGGAGTCACTTCCTGTGTAAACCTGCCTTCTATCCTTGGCTCATGCATTTTTAAATCAGCTGTGTGTACTCAGGTGACGAGTTTGGGTTATTCAGTGTGTACTTATCTTTAGTTTATGCATGCAATCTTTGGGTTTACAAGGTTATCTGCGCCTGCTCTCACATGGGGTGCACAGGCTAAGAGCTGATAACACTGAACACTGAGAGCTGTGATCACTCACGATGCTGAAAACTTAAATATGTATTGCAGTATTGCGCTCAAGGGGAGACAACACATTTGGCCTTGTTCCAAAATATCTGCTCCTTGAATGCAATAAATTGAGGAAGAATATCATACATCACCTATCTGTGCTCAGAGATAACAGCGTGCATTATATTGCAACAAATGTTAACATGCTCATACGCAGTTCCAGCCCTCACCTGAAGATGGCTCTGTTGAGGTAGTCTACGTGTGTGCGGTGGATGGCGTCCAGGTCGCTGGCGGTGGCCAGCTTGGCTGTGAACTCGCTCCAGGACACTTGCAGGATCTGGTTGGCGATGTAGCCCTGTATCACCTTGACAAAATGCTGCATCTCGTGTCTGTAGAGCTGCAGCTGATGGAACTGCACCGAGCGACCGGCACCTTTCACCAGTGCTGAGGGAAACAGAAATGGGAGTCATGATCAGTGCTGCAGGGATTAAAAATAAACGTGCTGGTTACAGACACTCAAGTGCGAAGATCTGCTGCTTTTATGCATTATATCACTGCAAAATTTATAACTTTAGGCTCTGTGTTCCTGTTGATCAGCACTTTGGGTGCATGAATAAGGATGAAAATGATAACTAAGCCTGTAGATATGACACAGACAGAGCAAGGTTAATTGTATTATACAGTATTTTTCTTTGACTGCAGTCTTGTTAGTCC